ATAATTTTACTATAGCTCCTGCTAACCGAAATTGCTGATCCTAACCCTAACCACGACGCATTCCGATGCATTCCGACCAGGAATTTTAGGGATTCCCCTGTAAAAAATGTTATTTGGCGGATGTGTGGTAGAATAATGAGTACATACCAGGAGATTTGTCTCCCGATATGTACCCGTAATTCATTGATTCAACCTGTGATATTTACTATGTAATAAAAATATAATTAAAATCTTTTTATTCTGTCAAGTTACTATTAATAATCTTTTTATCATATTGTTAAGTATTAAGGTATTAATAATATTATTTAATTATTTTAAACAGATTGCTATAAAATATTATTAAAATATTATATTTAGTAGATTGCTATTAGATAATTAAAAAATAATATTAGATTATATTCATATATAGTTATATAATAGTTATATGACAAACATTTTTAGCAAAATTTAAAGGTATCTGCTTAGTATTAAGATTAATGATAAGATTGGTGTTACAATTAAACAATAAGGCACCGGATTAAGTAATTAAATATTATCAATAAGTTATAATTAAAGTTAAGTAAGACATTCAATTTTTTTTACTATTCAAAATTTAATAATTGATCAAAGCATTTAACTATTTATGTATTCTAGGAGTGGGAAATCTTTATTATAAGTCTCTGCCATAAAAAATTTCATCTATATTTCTTGTGAATCAAGCTTTTTTTATAATTAAATGAATCAGTTTTATGGACACCTTTAAGAAATTATCTAAAATAGTGCGAATCTTTCGTGCTAGGACCGTTCGGATTATTTTAGAGCTTTGCTCTTATTTTTGTCCTAACCTTGCTCGTATTTACGTTCGTTTATTTTCTATTCGGGACATTTCGAACATGTGCCTGATTTAGTAATAATTCGATTCAACTCCAAAAATAAGCACCCTTTTTTGCACAAAGACAGTTATAATTCAGGTCAAAATTTGGCCAAGGTGCTTATTTTTGGTCGTCTAAAGCCAGGTAATTTTAATTGATTACTAACAAATTTGCAAATTAAAATCACGTGCCGAATATAACTTACTACCTGACTTTAGACGATCCCTATTTTTGGAAATATACGGTAATAGCGATAATTTTTTATATTCTATATCTGATATCTATACAGAACGATGGCCTTTTGTTTTTTTTTTGCGAATCATATAAAGTCGAAGACTTCAAATTATTTGAATATATGATAGGTCGATCACATTTCCAAATTTGAATATTATGGTTGTTCTAGGATATATTACTTTGCAGAAACTTTGATTTTTGCTAAATATGTTTACAATATTGCCACAATATTGCTATAATATAATTACAATATTACTAATATTATTATATGATAAATATATGTTAAACATATGTTAAAAATATTATTATCATATTTTAAAAATATTTTTTGTTCTATTAAATCACTTTTAATTTGATGTATATTATATATTTATAATATAATTACAATATGGGTTTAATATTAGAAATATTTTTTATTATCTAATAGTAATATAATAAAATTATATTTTAATAATATAATAACAATCCGTTTAAAATAATTAAATAATATTACATATATTACCAATATCTTAGCAAAGCTTATATTTTAGTAATATGATAAAAAGCAAATTTATAGTAATTTAACAGACTAAAAAATATTTTTACTATATAATATTTATAATGCATACATATTTAGCAAAAATCAAAGGTTCTGTAAAGTACATCTCCACTGTACGTACATATTGTATGTATGTACACATAAAATAACATATACGTTGTACTCATAGCTGTCATTGGAATGATCTTCGTTAGATTTAATTAAACCAATTGTTTAACATATAGGTAATTCACAAAGTAAGTGCTATAATAAACTTAAATTAATACACACAATGAATTAAATTAAATATTATAACTAATCGAAAACAATAAAATTTACACAAATACACAAATAAACGTATAGTTACACATTCTTTTTTATTTTGTCAAATTTTTTTAATTAGTAGTTCAATTAAAATTAATAATTAAGAATTAAGGATTGCTAAGAAAAATAAATTTCAAATTACTGTATTCAACCCTTAATATTTTCAGGCACTGGGAGTTTCAGAATAAATTTATCTCGAAAATATGTGTGTTTAAAGATCTTATTTTCTGTTAAAATTCAGAATTAGAAATTTAATGGGTGTAACCGGTGAAAAATTAACTTCTTTCATAAACATCTACCGATAAACGATTATATAAATAAGTATATGCTTTAAATAAAAATAGGGTTTATATGTCACTTCTTTTGAAATAAATATATCGTTTATTTTATCTGAAATTGGACTCCGGATCATTAATTCTATTTATATGTACTTTATCAATATTAATTTGATTCTCGGTGTTACAAAACAAACCAATTTGGCAAATGATACATTGCATAATCTCGCATAAATTATACGTAGCGTATCAAAAAGGTAACCTAACACTACCTGGCATTGATGTTGACGTTCACCCAAGAAAATATACGTACGTACAAGAAAAATAATAATTTTGAGTTATGCCTTTAAAGTCAAAATTTATGAATAAACATGAAACACTCACGAAACACTCTATAACATTGTCTGATGATGGACAATTACTCAGGTAAAGAATTATTTTTGCTTGAAACGCCATTAATTTTAATGAATTCGCATTAGCATTTTCTACAAACATGCAGGGAATAACTTTACGTACAATATTAGGCACAAAACTTTCATATATTTCCTTTAGAGTTTTGTGATCTTCTCACGTTCTAAAACCAGTGTAATTATTGATACAAAAATTTTATTGTTCTGAATAAAAACAATTTTAACTTATTTAGGGCATATTTAGTACAACATACTACAACTATGTAGACCAAATACTTTGGAAAATATTCTCAGTTTTTAATAAGGTTATTTGTTCTATAGTAGTGATAAGAATTCCAAATGATGTCAATATTTATCGTAATTATAAATTAAAACATTAACATCAATATGTTAATGAAATAATAATTTTGATATCTTATTTTCCCAAAATATTTAGTCGATAGTAAATTTCCGACTAGTCTTTTATCTGAAATCAGACTATTATCATACTTCATGTCGAAGAATTGAGTTTTCAGAAAATTAGTATGATCGGGAATAAAAAACATTTGATGAAAGCTCTTATCGACGAAATGGGTTGTCAGAAAATAAGTTACCGGTATAATAGTATAAGGTCATACTGAGCAACGTTTTACTTTGACCGACCCTTTTTTGTTGTATCACTTATTTCTATAACGATCAATTATCTTCTGTGCATCACGGACAGATCATGAGCTATCGATAAGACTCTAATAGCAATGTTCAGACAAAGAATAACTCAGGGAAAGGACCGAATTTTCGATTGAGAAAACCATCTGCATGTATCAATAAAAGTTTAAGGCTGAAGTTTTTGTATTGGTCTCATGCATACAAAGAACTCTCTTTATTTTGAACAAATTCGTTATGTCTCTAAATAAGGATAAAAATAAATAAAATTTCACAATAACATCCTAACAACTTCAAAATCTTCTCAACTAAGAATGTCATTCACACGATGAAGTTATTATTGTTTGAGAATGTGAAACAAGATAAAGTCAATAACAACCGATAAAGAACTCGTGTCGCTTTTTTGTTACTATCGAGTTGGGCTTGTGAGCAGTCGAATTAATGCTTGGAGAGTACAGGTTTAGCTCCGATAATTAGCAGTTTATATCTAATTAATGTATAGCTTTTCATCATTACTACTTTATTTGTCTTACGAGAAAAGGGGCCGATGCTAGGCTTTGTCTTGAATACACAAAGAATCAAATAGAAAATATTTGGTCGGAATTCGAACTTAAAATAGGATAAAGCAATATATTGATTGATATTAACAGATAATTGCAGGCATGTTCTTTAAATAGCAATAAAGAACTCTTTACATTTCTTTACATTATATCAAGAAGAGAAGTTCAAACATCCTCATTGGCTATTCTACATAATAAATATACCTGTTGTGCCTCATATCGGTTCTTGCCTCAGGTGACAACCGAGGCACCTCAGTGTCGATCGTCATATGAGGTGCGTAGCATGTCGATCGGTTACTTGAGGTACCTTAGTCATCACCTGAGGGCATTTACTAATTTCCCCCAGGTTTCGGGATCTTAGCCAATCAAAAAGCAAGATCAGGTGTAACGTGACAAACAAAACAACAATCGCTCTTTTTTGAAAAGTCACACTTACCTCAAAATTTCGTCTAAGAAATCACCTTTTATGAACTAACAAAAAAAATTCCTTGCAAAATTTTAGTATAATATTGCCTACTAACTCTAACCTCAAACCCTAACCAAGGTATCACATTTTAATCAAAAGTGATATGTAAATTGGCGCAAATAATCCCAGCCAGGGGGAAAACTAGTAAAATCGAAATAGATTTATATCTAAAGTAATATAGCATGAGGTGTGAACAGTGTTGAAAATTCGTTGTGCATGTATTATTTTTTGCACAAAAATTAACAATTACTGTGCAATTGCACAAAAAATAAAATAACATTCCTGTATAAAAAAATTTTCTTCATAAAATGTTTGTGCCGAATGTAGTTGAATAGGATTACAATTATCATGCTCATGTATAGTAAAGTTATCATACCCATACCGATACTTGTGCATAGTACTGATCATACTTATGTGTATATAGCGATAAAATACGTAATTTAAGATTACATATCAGATATATATGATTATTAAAAATTAATTATTTGAAAGTTATTGATATTAAATTATAGTGCTCGTAATAAATTACATATAAATGACGATGAAAGTTTGAGATTATTCAAATAATACGATGTCGATAAATGTTTGCAATGATAGTTTTGGGATTCTCTTTTACTTACAATTTTTTTTGAACGGGTAAAATATGCTGTTTAAATATACATTTTGAGAACTTTGAGAATTTTATTGAATAAAGATAACATTATTATTTTTAGAACATAAAATGAATAATTTTACTATTCAAGTTATTGATGGAATTGTAAAGATTTACGAAGAGGATCTTGAATGTCTTAACCGTTTGGAAAGTTTTGAAAGACATAGAACTGTTGATGTAAATAACAGCATATATAATAATTTAAAAAATAAATACAGCATTTTATTGTAATATATTTCTAATTAAAGTAACTAATTAATAGAGTTTGACTTCGGATGAAGATATTGAATATGATTCTGCAATTCATATGAAGAACGTGTACTTTTAATTGAAGTATGAAAGGAAAACTAACTTAAACAAGAATAACAAAAGTAGAATAGTCTATGAAATAATAAAAATATATTTGCATATTGTATTTGCATTAAATCGATATTTGCGAAAACAATTTATCAATAAATATATAGAATCATCCAGAGTGAACATCAAAAGTGCAGTAACGTGACTTGTGGTGCAGCCAAACCAAAACTACACAACTTTATATACTAACGCTAATAAAGCCACAGCTATTCACAAGAAAAAATATTTGCGATCCAACTTTGCCACTAATTTCTTTTTTTCGGTTCAAAATTGAAAACTTAATTCTGGCCAAATTAGAATTTTGAAGACCATCGGCCTAAATTAGATTAATGCAGGGCAAATGTTATAATCACGTTACTGCACTTTTATGGTGCTCTGGATGTATAGTACCTGGTACGTATAAATATACGTCTTACGCTTGTTTAATTTTTATTATACGTACTACTTTAAGTAATACAAATATCCGCGTACACACGTGATAAAATGATCATATGATAGCTTCGAACAAATTTATATACAAAAAGTATATCCGAAAAGTGAGTAGCATATTCTAGTATACGTATATATACGGCTTACGCTTTTTTAATTTTTAAAATAACGTATGTTCCTAATTTTGCTATAACAAGCAAATCTTATTTAATATCGATGCGGTAAAAATTCATCTAATATAAAGGCACTCTCTAAGTTAAAAATTGATGTTAAGAATGTTAGCGCATCCCGACTTCCACTTTAAGTTTCTTGATGGAATTCGTAGAGCAGCAGCCTTGTCGGTAGTATATACATATTTTAACACAATATATCTACTTCCCCAAAAGTTATCATTTTCAACATTTACAGATATAGGAAATATTGCAGTACATTGTTTTTTTGTACTTTCTGCCTTTTTACTTACCTTCCATATATTAATGGATTGGGAACAATATTATGAAAACTGGCTTGAACAAAATTTAATGGAAAAAAGAATATTATATAACAAATTATTGGATGACAAAGGTAGATTAATTGAATATGTATCATTTTTAATTTCAATAAATTTTATAAATTTTTTTGAATATTTATCTCTTTTCAATTTTATAAATTTTGTTGAATATTTATCTCTTTTCAATTTTTAAATTTCTATTAAAAGAACTAAATAATGTCACCCAAAAAACAGTTCTTTATTTAAATGGCTTAACTATTCTGCAATAAAGCTCTGTATAAAATACTTTTTTCATCGATTTATACGAGTATATCCAACATATACAATTGTTTTGCTAAGCATTGCATACAATGATTCAATAAGAAAGGCCTATTACAACTGGATAAAAATGACAAATTTGTTACAACATTTAATTCTTCAACAAGGCGAATCTATTTTTTGGAGCATTCCTCTGAAAATGATGGTATATACTAACCTTCTTTTCTAATTATATATGATAATTTTAATTAACCAAAAATATCTAATTTTCTATTATAGTACTATTTATTTATACCAGTCATTGTTATTGATTATGTTGGAATAACTTATATGGGAATTTTTTTGTCAAACAAATTATTTGGTAGACCAAATATTGGAGCATGGACAGGTCAAATACTAGGCAATATAATAATCTTTGCGGTATGGTTATTAATAGCATTACATCATGTTCTAAAAAGATCTATATATCTTTCAAGTTCAGTAGATTATTTTTTAAGCGGATCTATATGTGCAATCTGGATAGGGAAATTATTAGACTTGGTTTATTACCATTAAGTTTAGAAGAGGAAAAGGATTTAGAAACAAAGGAAAAACAGATCTTTAATGAAAGTTCAGGTATCATACAGAGTGTCTGTAGCTATATTATTAATATTTTCCAAGTTATCATTAGTTTGTTCGACACTTTTTTCGATTGGGCATGCTACCTCTTTTTTTTTTAATTCTTTGTACAATGCCTCATTTATCCTCAAAAGTTTTTGGTATATCCAAAATTTGGGTATTGGAGTGTAAAACTGGAGGTTTTTTGCATGGCTCTCTGATTCTTGCAGGACTTTTATCTTGTAATGGTTCATTTGTTAACATTTTTTCATAGAATTTACTTTATTTTTTAGGAAAAATATCATTTTGTATATACTTGCTTCACCCGATTGGATATGCAATTGTGAATAATTTTGTAACAAGTATAGAAAAACAAGGGGCGGCAAAGGAAACAAATAGTAGTGAAAAAATTAATGATATTGTGGATGCATTAATGTTGTCATTTGTGATGACAATTGTCATATTATGGTGTTTTCATAAGATTGTTGAAAGGCCAATTATGAATTTTACAAATTACATAACCAGATCAAAATCTTTTAGACATAAAAAAGTATAAAGCACAAATATTCAATTTATACACTGCTTAAAAAGTGATTGGTCTCAATATCATAAACTCTATTATGCTATGTAATATATTTAATAATTCTTTTTTTAATATAATTTTACTCTTTGTACTATTTGTAGTACATTTACAGAAATCTTTTAAATATATTATCTAAATAATTTTATATACAAAAATCTAATAAATCTAATATGATAAAAAATATTTAATTCTGTATTTATCGAAAAAATATTTTTAACTAAATATTAATTGAAACCTAGTAATGGAATCTTTTGACCATTTTTATCGTGACGGTTAAAAGCAACGATAACCTTTGGTTCATCATGAAAATTGGAAATGACAATTTTGAAATTATTTTAATCTGATGAAATATTTTAAAATGGCTGAAAGAAATATATTCATAATAGGAACTAAATAATATGTTACAATTGAATTATTTATTACACAGTATATAGAATTCATTAAACCCTTCAAGTCTCAATAAGTAAAATATGAGTTAGGCTTTAATATGCATAACAATAAATAATTTACTGTGAATTGCAAAATGGGCTTATACATATCATAATGAATTATGCAAGAAACACTATACAAGTACATGAAAGTTAAATTTTAAGTTGTGGATTAGAGTTTAAAAAAACATTTCTTTTTATATATAATACTGCAATTTTAGTACTTTTTTAGTATTCCACGATTAGTTTAGGCTCTTGTTCTTGGCCTTTTATTTAATTATTTTTTACATTATTTAACGTGACTACAATGAGTTTTGTTGTCTTTCTTTATAAAAGTTTGTATTATTCTGACAAATCATTAAAGCTAGATTCATGTAATCAAGTATTTACTGTCAAATTAAATATACAGTATTTAATGTTTTTCGAATTAACTTTAAGTAATCTATTTCAGTTGAAATAGGTGATATATTTTATTTGAAGCTATTCAAATAATTTATTTCAGATTCTAAATGTTCTTATTTATTTTCCATTTTAAACTATAAAAAAAAAAGCCTTATTTCATGAAATGAGTTACCGACCTACCTATTTTTTATTCTTTTATTGGCATTCGTAATTTTAAATCCACTTCTACTGTTTCAGAAATGGTTTAATTCTGAAATATCTATAGATGAAATTATTTTCTCAGCATCTTTTTTACTATAAGTTTGAAAAAGATTTTTTTATATTTCGTGCTTCAAAATGGTTGACATAAGTTTTAAGAACAAATTATTTATTTTAAACAATAATAATATAATTCAATTGCTCTAATATAGGAAGTATACAACAAGTTACGATATCAACTATTTCAAGATTTAATGTTAATTATTAAATTCCAAAATTAAAAAGGTTTCTATAGTAGAGATCCATGCCATAATTACCTTTAGTATTATCAGTTTATTCAATTTCAGATAATGTTTCAAATTAATTACTGACAAACAATGTTGGCTATTTAAATCATATCCAACTTAATATAGCGAAAATAGCTATAACATAATAATAATAGTATTACAACTGTTTGGAAGAGATATCACAATATGTAGTTTAGCTCTAGTCTCAACATCAGGACAATTTCTATGATCATGCATTATCCAAGCACCAAAATATTTGTTACGAGAAACCTGACAATAGGAAATTTTATATCAACTATAACCAGTGTTTATAATTTAGAAAAAAAATTTTTTTAAAAAAAAATAAAAAATGATTAATATATATATTTATATATATTTATATATATAGTGCAACTTTTTTTTCAAACTTACTTGCACATTAAAAAAATTTACTTAAGTTCTTTAAAAATACTTGCATGTTAAACAAAAACTCTTGCACAATACATCATGTGCATACTAATTTATAACAGGTCATAGGCCAACACTGTTAACATGATTCAATAACATGCGAATACTTAAATAAACATAGTATTTCAGTATTATTTGCGCTAATATTTATATCTTATAATGTAACGGATTTAACAGAATGTTTATACTTTACAAAGGCATCGAAATATGCTGTAGTGAAAGCAATATCCAAATAACTAAATGTGTTTTCATGTTGAATAAAAAATCAGCTGATATCATATTATGGGAGAGAGGTAGGCAAAATATCAAGTCTAATTATACATCACGGCCGATTCTGTTCAGCCCTAAAGCTTAAAACTGCCCCAAAATTTAGATTATTTATGTTTTTTTTTGCACTCCAACATATTGATACATAGTTGACTATAAGTGTATATCTTAAAATAGATTTTAAATTTTGAGGTTTGAACCGATCAATCGTGATAAAACATATAGCCAATATTTCTCAGGAGCAGGCGAGCTATAGTATATAGTTGTTAGACGAAACCTTTTTTGCTTGATGACGAAAGTCGAAACCTAAGCTCTAAATGACGAAACCTCTGTCG